AATGGCATCACGTAAAGTATTTTAATACAAATTTTCATATATCGAAATTAAAATGTTATGAATTCCTTTACTATAAATTTAATGGGCATTGATATCGACTCATATTCTCAAAACTAATAACGGATTTATAGTGTGTAAGAATCTTAAGATTGTTTTAGTATTTATTTACGTGAAATGATTTATTCACAAAAATAGGAAGATGATTTCAATAGATGGATTTTGTTCGATATCATTTAAGTACTTTACATTATTGATTAGTTGGAGTACATTGTTTTCATTTAAGATAGAAACATACTTAATTTATAACGAACAAGGCAATGAAAGTGGGTCCAGGTAAATTATTAAATAACTGTATGAAATTGTTACCGAGGAAAAATATCTATAAGGAAATCATTAAAATTCTGGACCTGGTCATATTAACATCTCTTAATATTTTTACTTTCTTATAAGGTGTGCCATGACGTGTCCATTTAATAAACATGTCACTATCGTAAAGATTCAAGAGGTAATTGAAATCGGACGTTCATTAGCAAGGTCGGCACGGTTTCCTCTCTTCGGCACAGGTAATTCGTGGGCAAGCTACCAAGATTTAAGTCATATCATTAAAGAGACGTGGTACAATAGGAATAAGGGACAACAAATCAGATGCTAAAGTTTCTGAGACTATGGCTAGAACATGATACAGATCTGTAATTTTGTTGATGCTAAGACCACACAGAGTTCTTAGAAGATATTGTTGTCTAGTCTGCAGGTGATGACTGTTGTGGCAAAGGATCCAAAAATTTTACTATTTTTAAATGAATAAACGCGATAATTTTAGATATCATTAAACTTGATATTATTTTTTGTTTGTTACATCTGGTAAAATGTGTTAAAATGTATGTTAAAAATTCAACATTAATAATAATGTTCCATTCACCATGACTAAATAAAAAAGTTATAAAAAGTGATGTATTCTATCTCAACATCAGTGCTGAAAAAGATTGCCGATCAATCAATCATATTATCGCCGGTCCTTTTATCTTGCTCGCTGTCAAATTACCTGCCAAAAATTGTTCTACATCCAAATTTTATATATAAACTCCATTAAACGGTTATTAAATGAAATTTATTTTAAGAAACAACTTATATTTGTATATAAACATAATCATGTCCCTTAACTGGTGTATTTTGTAGAAAATAATTTCAGCTAATTATTTTTACTTGAACTGATACTATCAGGAAATATGAAAACTTTGTAATTGAAAACACGTGATACGCTTTAAAAGATAAAAGCTGTTATTAAAATTTATGATTTTAAGAAATATTGTATAAAACTCTTCAAAGATAGTAGTAATAAAGAAATCAATCGTCTCAAATGTACAGGATCTACAAATTATTTTATTTCCTTCTAAAGTATATTTACTATATTATTCTATCTAGCTTTGTATCGTTTTTATTTTCCGTCATTGACTATTGACCGCCAGCTTTCTTAATAAATAACTTTAATCGCCGTCAACTTTAATATTTTCTGGACAGTAAAATTTTTGAAAGTTTTATTTCATATTTATGGACACTTAATTTCCCAAATATTTTCGCTCATGTGAACTTCTACCATAAAAACTCAACATTTATCCCTATTAGAGACAATTAAAAGTTTATTTTTGTTATTTAAAAATAATTAATTATTATTATCCTTAAAATATATTTACAAATATTCTTATAAGTCAATACTAAACTGTATCACCACCTGTAGTTAAAGCTACCCAGACCGTTGATCCACGTACCATTCAGGGTAGCTAGAATATAAAACGAAAAGAGTCAGTTGTAAATCGCACTTTAAAACATTTTATTAGAATTCAAGATGACAAATGATGAGTTGAAAATTAATATTGAATTATAAGACTTACGATTCGCCAACAAATGCTAGTTCAACAAACTCCTGAGCAGATGCTGAGAAGATGACGCCAAATAAAATATACAGAAAATACATTTTGATCCGAAACATTATATAAAATGTAAGATGTTGAAAAACTAAAATTTTACCAAAATATTTTTAATATTTTTTTATATTAATATTAATTAAAACACATTGCCGCATGTGCCGCACCTCTAAAACCTTATACTGAGTTCATCAATCTGAATATAGATCAATTAATTATATTGATTACTTTTCACATTCATGACTATGTATCTTGATCGAAACAGTTGTAGGTAATAGTCAGCGGTGAGAGTAATATTAAATCAATTGTTACAGATAATTGATGATTGATATTTCGTCATACTTGCATGGATCATTTCTCTTTAGTTTTATATTTTTACCTACTTAGTCTGTATAACTTGTAATTTATAAGTTGAATTGGTTACTAATAAGAGAAAATATCGGTTCAAATTCACCCTAATCCGGTGCCTATAAAATTATTTTGTTATAATTACATATTAAATTACGAACATAAACAATAAAAGCTCCCGTTTTGCAATAACTTAATTTGGCAAACTTATTTAGCAAAGAGTTCAAGCAACATGCCTTCAGCGAAGGTGCTGAGGCTTGAGCAAACATTTGAGCAAGTTTTAAGAGATTGGCAGTTTTTTGTTTATTATTTTATCCTAAAAACATCTAAGTGCTTATAAATCTGAAATTGATTATGTGGGGCTACAAAAGCTTTAGTAATAAATAATGGGTAAAATCTATTTTCTATGTAATAAAAAAAAAATCTAAAAAAGAAAATGTTACCTATCTATATTATATGGGTTGTCCCATAAGTTTCTTCTTTTTTTTGATGCGAAATGAATACACGATATTAGTTGTTTGAGGTTGATTTATTGTATTATATATGAACCGTTCTGTTCTATAATCTTCTTCCATCTCTCAGGAAGCTTCATTATGCCCTCTTTCCAAAATTGTTGAGGCAAACTTGCAAAATATTCGTCTGTGTGCGTTTTTATTTCGCTTATGGGTTTGAAAGATTTACCACGGAGATGTTTTTTTAAGGAGAGGAACAAGTAATAATCGGAAGGAGCAAGGTCTGAGGAGTACGGAGGATGAGGTAGAACGTTCCATTCTAACTGTAATAATTTTAATCACGACGACACGACGAAGAAGCAAATCGCACGTAGAGACGCGGTTCATAAGACCGGTCTCCGTTAATGGGTGTGGAACCCAAACTTCATACCGGTTTGCATATCCCATCTTGATCAAATGCTTATGTACCGTTGTCTTGGGAATGTTAGTGTCATCCGCTATCTCGCGGATTTTCAGAGAGCACAGTCTTGATAAGGTCCGCATCCGTCGTTACTGGGCGGCCGCTGCGGTCTTCATCTTGTAAATCAAATTTGCCGGCTCTAAATTTCTTAAACCAATTGCGGACGGTCCTAATGGTCGTAGTACCACTCCCGTAAATGGTGCAAATCTCGTCTGCAGTGTTCTTTGCACTATTGCCTTTTTTAAAGCAATTTTGTATAACATGCCGTAAATGCTTCTTTTGGCTCTCCGTATTGAACGGGGCAGATTTTTTTTTGAAAGAGGCTTTGTCACCAACGAAACTTACTTTGAAAGAGCTCTGGGATGACTGAAACCTATGCCACAAACGGCTAAAAGATAAGCCTGCATGTTTATATAAGCATAGCCAGTCAGAGTCATTCATAGCGTAGTGTGGAAGAAATTTATGGGACACCCTAATACATTCCCTTTAAGCGATACATATATCATGAAAATGTATGTATACTAAATGGTGACTTTAACATAAGAAGTTATAATCTCTATATAAAGAAAGATATACTTTTAAGGAAAATGCAAGTAGAAGTGCTATGTTTTTCTTTTTCGGTATATTAAAAGCGATACTAATTTTCACAACTTGTATTTGATATATATCTATATTCATTATTTACCGAGTTTATTATCTTTTGGTACCATACCTTTTTAAAATTTCATATTTTTCAACTGATAACAAAGCATTACAAGTTAAAATGTTTTGTTTGCACTTGGCGATATCATAACATATATTGAAAGACTTCCCATTTACACATTTTAAGTTTTGATTTTTATTTAAACAGTGCCGTTTAATTTTTTAGCATAAAAATTACTTTAAGAAATAGATGTCTGTAGGTAGCTCTGTATTGAACAAATGTTATCGTTTGGTACAATTTAGTTCAGGTTCTGAGGAATTTCCTCGTGACCTTTCACATTATAAAGTATTGATAACAATTATAACATGTCATCATTATATGTCGCGTGAATAGAAATCTCACAGCAATAAGAAGTAATAATAATATGCTACTATATTTAAAGTTTTTTCAATTCAACATATGTTATTGCCTATCATAAACATTTTTTTTATTTCTTTTTAATGAAACTCAAAGTGTTTTATTAAAAACCAAATCCTTTTGGGTTTTGGAAAACTATTATACATATATCTGAAAATACTCCTACGTATACAATATTTATATCGTTTATTTTAGTCACAAAATTGCTAAGCTAATAACTAAATTTATGATAACTCAAGGAAGGAGGTCAATAAAATTATCTATGAAACATATGTCTATTATGCACGTTCAGTTATAAACAGTAGTAAAAGGGGATTTTCTTCGTAGATCTCTTTAAGTATATAAACGTATTAAATTAAGAAGATTTATCAATAACTAAGAAAGCGCTGTTAGAAACAACTCGTATAATGTTGTCCAAAATAGTATTTCTGGCAGTACTGCTAGCTGGTGTAAACTGTCGATATATTTTACTAACAGAAGATGAAGTTATGAATCATGTGGTGCCCGTTACGGACAGAACGAGAGTTAAAAGAGCTCAAGGTACAATTACCGCTGATAATAAAGGTATAGTCGGTTTAAGTGCTAAGATCCCATTAGCTCATAATGATAAAAATGTATTAAGTGCGATTGGAAGTACGTCTCCGAATGGACAAAGTTATGGGTTGGCTTTGGACAACATGTAAGTTACTATTACGCATTTTATTATCATTTACTTCAAAAGTATTATAAGAGATATAAGTAATTTTTTTCGATTTCAGAAAAGGTCATTCTCTAAGCGTGTCAGAATCACGTATTCCAGACTTTGGCAAGCAGCAGACAATAGCGGGAAATTTAAATTTGATGAACACGGAGAAGCATAATTTGAACGCTAACGCATTTGTTTCTCGAAACATCCCGAAATTTCCGGAAGTTCCTAATTTTAATACTGTTGGAGGAGGGGTTGATTATATGTTCAAGTAAGCATTTACATATTTTCTTTGTAATATAGAGCAAAAATATTTCTTGTAATACATTTTTTCAATGATGATAATCATGATTTACTTCTTAAAAATTGAAACTTTATTTATGTTCTGTATTTTATTCACAGTAAGAAGGTAGGCGCCAGTTTAGACGTGGCTCACACTCCCTTCCTTCAGCGTACGGATGTTAATGCGATGGGAAAACTGAATCTCTATCAAAATCCTACTACATCATTAGACTTTGGTGCTGGTGCTTCTAAATCATTCTCTCCTCATATACCTAATAGTTCTTGGGAACCAAATTTCCGTTTCTCACTATCAAAATACTTCTAAATAATTCACTATATATGTCATTATGAATAAATTATTATTTTAATTATGTATTTCGTTTTATAATTTTAATAAAAAAATATCAAAATTAAATATTTTCTTTCTTTATAATTTGGTTTATCTGCTGGTTTCAGTTAAATATTATGTAGTACATACATGACTTTCAGCTTTGACCTTGTGTTGTTTACTTATTAAAATATTTGCGATATTATTCTTTTTTATAGAAGAAAGAGTTTAAAAATGATATTTTACCATGGTCTAATTAAAAAGAACATATCTCTACTAATGAAAGGAAGCGATCGTTCCATTCCGTCAAGTTTCTTAAATAATTCTAAACAAACCTAACCTTTTACACTTTTACATACTTATTATAATTTTATTCTTATGATCTCAAATTCTTTGGTGTTATTAATTTGTTATTTATCTAAGAAGAGCCAGCGATATATACACACGTAAAATAATAAGACGGGTTGGCAGACCCTAAATAAAACTGGGAAATTACCAGGTAGAAGAAAATAATAAGACAAGTTAACGTTCAGTGTGATAGACTACTACAGGCATATATATTTTATATTAAATAATAAAATAAGCAGCAACTTAACAATACACCCCCATATTTATATAAATAAATAAAAAAGTGCTTGTTTACAGCTAAGAATAATACAGCAAATCATCAAAACAAAGTTATGTAATCCAAGGACATTAAAATAAGACAATAACAATTAAAATACTTATAAATTTAATTTTATATGCCGACATTTATCGATATTTAGTACCATTTTATTATTATCGCACCATATTTATACAGCATTTCAGCCACGTTGACGCACTGTTGAATCACTACCTTTTCCATTGATTTATATAAACAAAAAACAAACACTCACTGTGGTTAATATAATCTGGGAGGTTGTTTATGAAGAAAAGGAACAACACAGAGTCGAGGTGGACACCATGTAGTACGATCAAATAATCAAGAAATGTTTGTGAAATAAACCCATTTACTACGATTTGTTGCATTCTGTCTTTCAGGTAAGATTCCAGCCAACTTAGAAGTAATAGTAGTTTGAAGTATAATCTCAATATGATATACATATTTTTTCTATTTTTTCATTGAAATCATTGGAAGTAATATCAATAGAAAATAAAAAACTGTATGCAGCCAGTCATTGTATGTATTGAATTTCAATACATATACATATAATCAACACTCTCGACGATCCGTAAAAATATTTTTTTCGAAAAAACAAACAGTTCAGGTAGAATTATTGAAGAATGATCTGAAAATATTTTAAATGTTTATATGAAATAAAATATTTACACTATCTACATACTTTAATTATAGAAATCGATCGTTGTGACAAATTAATGATGTCGTTAAAACTTCAATGTAATTCCTTCTTGACAAGGTCGAGTTTTAATTTAAAATATTATAGGTTATTGAAATATATATTTTTTATATCTTTAACTTATTCTATCATTGTACTATGATCAAAGTGAATGAGACCTCATTACGCTATGAAATAAATTAAAGCTTCTTAAAATATATTGACAAGAATGCCTTAACAAAGGTAGCGTCAATTAGATGAAAATTATATATCGATTATACCAATATTATTTCTGTTATAGTGATGATAAACTACAAGTAAATTAAGGATAAAAATGTGGTTTGTGAAAAATATATTATTGTGTTTTGTGTGTCTATTAAATACGATATGAGTTACAAAATAATGATCGTAAAATCATTACTTGTGCCACTATCGTGTGTGTACAGTATTAAGTACATTTTTATTTTCGACTGCTTCGTAACATACCTCGAAAAATATCAGACTTTAAATTTAATTATCATTTGATATATGTACATATTTAGTTTATTAACTATGTAATTTCATACAATCATGCAATTTATTTTTCCCAAGGAACCTCACTAAGAAATAAACGATTGTTGCAAATAAAATGTTTTGATGGTAAATATTTTCTAGGTTTCCGCTAAAAACTTATATTTTGCTGTTTTAATTTCAATAATCTTTTAAATTTTTAAAATGCACAAATGAAGATTGCTTTTTTTGCCAAAGGATGAAATCATCACTTCAATTTGCATCAAAATAGGAAAGGTATTTTTTAGTTTACATACGATAAATCTAAATTAATAATTTTTAAAATCTCGTTTTTGTGAAATATCTATTAAATTTGTTAATGTTATGTATGTATGTATGTATCTAAAGTTCAATCAGCTTTAACGAACTCTAATTGATGAGAGCCTTAAAGTTGATATAATTTGTAGTATCACGTGAATAGAGTTTTTATCTGGCTTGTCAATGATGCTTGTAGAATAAGATCCAAATACGAAATAATTCGTAATAAGTAACTGTTATATAAATAACAAAAAAGATCTTAAGCGTCAGTTTATTTGTCATCTATCAGATACTTTGAGAGAAAACTTCATCGGGGCTTGATAATATCAACTCTGCTATGAAACATGGAAATGAGAGCTTTCGATTTGTACTCAAGTAGCTCGGGAGTCAAGAAAGTGTATAATGAATACAATGGAAGCAGGGCTGTCGATAGTATTATTTATATTTATATACATAGTATCAAATTAAGGTATCAATTGTGTGCAAAAAAATTAAAAATATTATTCAAAATAATTTGATCAAATAAGTAAGTAGTAGTAAGGGATATAACTATATTTATCTTTTTCGTTTTGAATCATAAAATTTCAGCCCTATTTTAAACGCCAACCGTTTATACTTTCATGAAGCTGTAACTCGATGAGTTGTTTCAATACTTATACATATTTTAACATTTATTTTTTTAACATGATGTTATTGTTAGTCAACATGTTATCCTCGTTTTACCAAAACAAAAAATATTTTACCATTAAATAAATCAAGTAGATACGACTGAATCCAGTTTTGAAAACCGACATAAACAATATTTATAGTAATCCCCCTAGTAAATATTTGGCTTTTGATATTTTAAAGAGACCTTTTCAATAAGACCAACAAATTCTTCTCTATTTTTGTTTTTGTAGACATATTTTGTTGTTTTTTTTTTCCTTACAGATAACTGTCTAATAAGCATTAAAGGTAATCTAGACGCTCTTAGTTCTGAAGTTACAACCAGAGTTTTCAAAAGCAATTACTTTGATAGTGTGAGAGTATAAAATTTTTATACTCTCCCATAAAACGACGGCTTTCGCAGTGGTTTAAGTGAGTAGGGGCCTTCTCAGACCGAGCCTCACACATCCCTTCCGGCCCAACCAAGGCCGGTTGGATGGCTCGTAAAAAGAGTTTCCCTGCGACATCTAAACAAAAGAAAAAAAAATCAGTAGTAATATGTTTCGGCAAGCTTAATCGTAATTGATAACAAAACTTCGACAAGCGATATATTGTTTATAGTCACCTTAAATAAACAAGACGAAACTTCTCAGCAATCCATAGATTTACCGTGCGGGTGCCGGGTCCATCGCGTTGCAGGGAGAGGAGCTTCAACAGTGCCTGGGACTTGCGACCCAAGTGTAGGTTTAAGGGGCCCCTTAACTAACGCGCGTTATACGCTCACCTCCACTGTCCAAGCTCCTCTCCCTACCTAACCAAATTTGAAAAGAACCTACTAGGGCTGCCTTCGATGTACGTTCCAAGAATGCATTAATGTGAGTTCTGGACAAGCCCAAGTCCTTTAGTAGGTTATAGAGAGATTTCGCTGTTATACCTCTCGCTCCCACCTCCACCGCGTACAAATCTACTACGAACCTATTTCGAGTGAGTTCGTTTGTGAGCTCGTAATATTTGTTGACCTTGATGGTATGGTCTTTGGGGATGTTGGTTTCCCAAGGGACCGGAAGCTCTATCATCACTACGCGCTTTAAAATTCGCGAAAACAAAAATATATCCGGTCTGGAGGCCGACGCACAAATGTCCTCGGGGATTTTATATTGTTTTTCATACGTGTCCATCATTATAGTCCAATCCGACGCCGCTTTAAGGATGGAGTAAGGCTTGACGTTTGATTTTGTAGCCCTAGTGCCTTCTCTCACAAAACCTACTGATCGTTCGTTTGTGGTAATTTCCTTTTGCGCTCTGGCTACCGAAAGACTAACCGCTTCACGTATGACTTCTAAAACCCTATCGTGACGACGCGAGTATTGACCGCTGTCCAGGAGTACCTTACATCCCACCAGCAGATGTTTAGCAGTTCCAACTGCCTTGTAAATACCTTTAAGTGACGTAATTAACAATAATGGATGGCTAAAATTATCAGGTGTCACCTGCATAACTGCATAGCCAACTGTGGAAGCCACCTATAAAAGTTTAGTCACAATAATGAGTCTCGATTAGTATAAATGGAAGCAATTATACAGGCCCGAGCCTTGGCAGAGCTCGAACCTCTTCAAAATAAAAAAAATCATTATACAGTCTATGAGGTAATCTCCAATAGTCTAGGCGCCTGACGGCAGTTGAGAAAACGGGTCTTCATAAAAAAACAATGTAGTGATAACATCTTTGACATATTCTGTACAAAAATATCTCTAACTTTTATATTGTGGTTATTATTTCATCACTATCAGTAGTCTGTGTGTAACGATTGATTTCGATGATGTTTTTCTTAATAAAAGGGATTTGACTTTGTAACAGTAATATTTGAAATATTTGTTGTACGACATTTACCTTACTATTCATTATAGGAAGTAAATTAATGATTAAGAAACAAAAGTTTCATATTGATCTACAGTAATACATTATTAGGTAACGACAAAACTAGATTTATTGTATAGCCAAGAAGTCAATAATGTGTATGTCACTCTACTAACGTCAATGTCCTACTTTCATTAAAATATTTTAAGAATACTCGAAAGTTACCCACTTGTTGACATTCAACTGAAACAAGGATATCAACGAATGTTATTTAAACAAGACATTAATCAAAGGCAAGAGGAAAACCCGGCCCCAATAAATCTCAACGAACATGGAACATTCATGACAGGGAACTATCTCCTAATATGTAAGCTTTACTTAATTATATATTATAGTACGAATAATTTGTACATCATTGAGAAAATGTATTAGATATATCTACATTGAAACTGACAACCGTCGCCAAGAGCAGTTTATTTCTCCTTATTTCTCCCAGTCAGTTCTCCTGAGGTTATAAGTTCCATGTCCATCTAAGCCTTATCTCCGCTATATATTTTGTGTAATATGCGTGTGTTTTCATGTTTCATCAATGATAATAAGCTTCATACACTAAGTGAGTGAGCAGCTCCCCAGAAATGTTTATTTAAAAGTGTGTCAAAGGTATTAGTATAATTATACATATATGCAAGCAAAAGGATAGATGGGTGAAAATAGTAAAATGAAAAAATAAATTCCACAAACTTATTTCTCTGCTTATTATTTAATTAAAGTATTTGGATAAAAGAAAGTATGAACTGGGATTGTTATAAAGTATATTATGTTTTTCAAAAGCCCTATATTTCTGGGAAGTTCTTTACACAGATCAGAAGTAGAAATAAAATTTATTTTAAAAGAAAATGGATTTGTATGGTTGTCGCTTTTATGTTCGTTATGCATCCTAGCATCACAAAAGTAATAAAAACACATGAATACATAGTAACCTATATCGTATATAATACTATATTTTATAAAATATATTACACTCTCATGTCATCATCGTTGATGTACAAGTCTGTTACAATAGCAATTTTCATATATATCATTCAAACCGGTTACAGAAAAAATATTTTTATAAAGTATCTTAGTTTCTCACTAAACTAAATATTCAGCTGTATTCTGTAAGCTGTACTGGTAATAAGTATTCTTTAAGAGCAATTAATCAAGTTCAGACAATCGCTAAAAGAAAGATATAACTATTTGAAATGAATTAAGGTCTGCAATTTATTGCTGAAGTATATTGGGAGCAATGAATCTGAATAATGAATACCGATCAGTATTGCCGTGAGAATTAGGTTTGACTGAGGTGTATTTACTTTCAATTCTAACATAATTATTTCAAAATTATATCATTGTTCATAATAATTAAAATATATGTTTATTATAAAAGTACAGTTATTTGACTTGCTTATAACCTTACTATACAATAATCAAGAAAAATATTGAGTATGAGTGGAAACCATAAATATTTACTGGAAAAATACGTATACAAACATCAATTAATAATTTTACATATATTATTTCGTCTTTAACTGATAGAAAGGACTGTTAATTGTTTTTCATTCATCAAACATAAATGTCGTAAATTAATTTTTAACTTGTGTCTACATATTTTTGTTTGATATAATATGTCAAGTCTCACTAACCCTAATTCTCTACTATAAAGGAAATCGATACTACTGGTATAACATTAGCTCTTCTCAGTATGGCGAGACCATAAAATAAGTAATAAAACCATTAAATAAGTAATAAAAACAATAGTTGTACAGCAAAAGTGTTCAAATTTATTTCATTATAAATCTAATTTATATCTTATCCCTTATATTCTTTTATTATCATTCGTATTTAATGTAATTTCAAAAAAAAATTCTGGTCTATGGCAATTCCTTTAGAGTTTCCAAGAAAACTATGATTGCGAGCAATGGGAATTCAAACAGAGATCTGTGAGAATATTTTCTTTCGTTTCTAGTTCTTGTTTACTCTGATTAAAGTTGTTTCAATTCGACCGAGCACTTAATAAAAAAACTTGAGGGACTTGAAAATATGGAAATGCAGTTCATGTTTTGTTTACGCAAATATGACCGAATTTCGTCGCAATATCAAATGGATTCCTATATGTACTGTGTTGCTGTGATTCACTTGTTGTACATATATAGTGACAATCAAAACAAAAATTCAGATTTAGGATTCAAAGCATAAAATTTAATAACAAATATAAATAACGTACGTATAACGGTATGAGGTTAAGGTTGTACCAATAAAAATAATAATAATCAAATTCTGCCTTAAAAATGCTGCTTTTAATTTAGGTATGTAAATTTTACCTAACATTAATATTTTCCATTTAATATATCTCTTATATGTATATAAATTTAAAATAATATATACCAACATTAAATAATTCTTATAAAAACATTCAACTTTTCAATAAACTTATTAGTTGTTGATTACAATTACTAAAATTGTAAATGAGTGACACATTGTAAATTCATTCATAATAATCAAAGTATGGAGTAAAAATCTGTCGAAACAGCGAAACGGATTTAAATTTTGATTATTCAAATGACCTGGCTTTGGGATTGTCCTTATACTCTTCAATATTGTAAGACTCTATTATTTATAGTTCCATATCTCCTGAAAAAACATTTGTTTTCTGACTGTAATAACGTATTAAATGAGTTAAATTTAAAAAAGAAGTATTCTTCACATCGGCTGTATTTCTTCTCGCTTAAAATGCGTCTACATAAAAGCAGTATTCCTTGTAATCGCTTGCCAGTTATAACTTTGACACTAGTAAGCCACTATTGCTCTCTTTGGTAGAGACGACTATCTTATGTTGGCTATGTCAGATGATCTGATTATTGGTTTCCATATAAGTTTACTAAGAACAAATATTTTTTGCTATAAATAACATTATGATAAATAAAATGAGTAAGCTCTAAAATAAAGTAAAGGCTGAAAAAAGTTCTGAATTATTTTATATATTAGTTAGCTAATATATGAAATAATAAACATAAAATACTTTAAAGCAAAAAATTGTATATTTATTCTGTACTATACTGAAAGTGAGTTCAAATATTTTACCTAAAGTTAACAATACGAGCACGAAAAGTATGAACAAAGAAATGTAAAAAAAAAATAAAATCCTGATTACATATTTTTAGTCTCCAAAATGAAATATATCTGGTAGTGATATTTAAGATTTGTGTATATGTACTAATTTATATAAAACTAAAATTGGATAGTATGCGTTTTTATTATTTCGGAACTAATTGAACTAAACTAACAAACAACTAATCACCTCGTCTGCCCTCAACAACAGTTACTGTAAAGATGTGGTTTAAAAATCATATAAAGACAGATGTGGTTTAAAAATCATATATGTACAACGCGTATTATCTGAAAACCTTAGTTTCATTAATATTTATTGTGTTGAAATTTTGTGAATTCTCCTTCTTATCAAAATATTATCTAATCTTTTACATTCTCGGAAGTTGTAATAAATTTAAAGATCTAAAATGAAACTTATTAATTGAATATTAATCTCAAAACCGTAAGTTTTTGAACAAACACCACCTGAAATATTAAAAGACACTTTAAGGTATTATTTATCTTAATTAATTAATCCACGTTTATAACATTAATTAACTGTCTGGGGTTTTCATAAATATAACTCCATTTGTCTTAATAACTACATTTCAGCTTAATGAATGTATTTTATTTTATACTATATTTATACATAAAACATAACTTCAATTTGAATTAGAAAATAAAGAATTACAATTCATTGATTTATATCTGGCTTTGCAATATACAACCTCTGCCTTAGAGATTTTTAAACATTACCTTAATGTTAAAAACATACATAAAATTTAGAAATAGTAATTTCATTCTGTCTTTGTTTTCCTTGTGAATATGTATAAATAATAACCTTAAGTACAAGATAATATTAATAAACAATCATGAACTCTAATTTAAAATTAAAATTCAATGAAAGAGATTTTATTAAGTAGATTCTAAAAGGACCTAATTTATTTATCAATTAGGTTAATTACTCAGTAATTCAATCGTAAATAGAGCTTAACGAATCGCTAAGTCTAAAAAAACGTTCCAAAGCTTACGAAATAGAGCGTGAAATGTAGATTTTATTAAACATGGCCTTTAACATTGTAAAAGGTTTTTAAATATACTTTATGCTTGTATTCATAAAAAGTTATTTACCTTTTGAATTAAATAATATCAAATTAATAATGACAAATTAAAATATCATTGACATCATATCTTTTTTGTTTTAGGAAGTTTTTTTTTTCAAAAAAATCTAATTTATATTAGGTAAAAAGGAATTTTATATCATTATCATCACATTAGCCTATTGGTGCCCGGGAATGAGCAAAAGTCATTTCTTACATGGAGAAGTTGAGAGAGATGAGAACATTACTTACCCCGCTGGTTCAAGGTAGACTGGCAGTTTCAATCTAATGATTTTAAATTATAAGTCTAGATTGTCACACGACGTTTTCCTTCGCCACCTGCCAGTAACGTCTAAATACTCTTAGACCGTACATATAACTGGGAAAAAAGCACATTGGTACTGTCCAGGTTT